TAAGTTTTTTTCTGTTCAAACTCAATAATATTATTCAAGAACTGAAATTCAGTTCTAAAGATCCAAATGGTACAAGTATTATCTTTTTATTTAGTGATAAATATTTAATAACTCTTTGGACAAAGCTTTTTTAAATAAGAACTCTCAATATGTATCCATATGCAAATAATGTCAACATTATTCTGACCACTTGTCCAAATATGTCCTCTCTCACTGTAATAGACATTAACTTTAAACAAAGTGTGTATTTTCAAGGTAACTTCCATAAACAAACACTTGGACCCCAAGGGTGAAGCCATTACTTTTCATTTCTTCAAGATTAATTAACAAATTACATCAATTTCAATAATTTAATTGATTTGTTAATTTAATTTTTAAATATTCATATATATTTCTGATATCAAATTCTTTTAAATAATTCGGGTACAGTTAATAAATAAATGTCTGTTTCTACTCAGTCAAAATTGCCAAAGTAAATTCTTTAATCTTGCTATTCAAACAGAAATAGTTTTAAACATTCTTTTAAAAATGTGTGTTTTCTTACTAAAGACATTAAACCAAAATTTTTAAAGAAATGAAGAGACACTGCATATTAATAAAAATTTTGCACCATTCAAATTGGTATGCAACAATAGTGACTTGCATCTAAATGTGTACAAATTCAAATCAATTTTGTTCAAGAGGAAAGAAAAAAGCAACAAAAATTGAAAGAGAAGTTACCTAATGATGGAAAAATCTTCATTAGGAATCAGGTCACTTGTTAATTATCGAAGATGATGAATTTGTGAAGTTTTAAAATTTGAACCAAATATAACGGACATAAATGACAAAATAAAAATACATTGATCCATTCATACCAGTTTCTATGTTTACATTGTTCACATTCAGACTAATGTCCTCATCTTTGTTGTTATTATCACAAGGTTTGGGTTATTGTGTCCACTGGCCTTGATGTCTGTCAATCCAGGTAACAGCCAGAGAATTTTGAACTAAATCAGAGTTTCCCAACCTGGGCAATATTGCCCACCAGTGGGCAATTTTAACTGTTGGATGGGCAATGAGCAACTGATCAGAAAATGGTGAATGATTGGAAATTTTGGTGGTCAATATAGGACTGAGTATTAAAAAGGTATTTTAACATATGCTATCTGTAAAAAATATTCAAAAGAGATATGCAAACAATCTGTATAAAAACAGGAGGCTAAATGATAATAACTGTCTCACATTCCTAAATGAGATATAAATATCCCCACAGACAATAGATATTTTGATATTTTCTATATAGTTTTCAATGGTTAAGTTTGCTTTCATTTGTTCTTTAATATGGTAGTAGCAGCAGAAGCCTCTGTGTAAGTCAGCATTCTTTGTACCTCCATTTGGCATTTTTACTACATCATAAAGTCACTTTATGAAATAGTAATAAACTTTTAGAAAACAATTTTGGTATACTTTTGAATATTTACTATACAAGCGGACAATGACACAAAAAAGGTTTAGGAAGCCCTGAACTAAATCCTCAATGGGTGTAGATTGTTCTTGTTCCATTGCCCATATCTAGGGATATCTCACCTTGTTCATTACAATACAACTCAATTATTGCTTGCAATGTTTCCACTAATTCAGAGGCTGTACTACTCAACACAAGGATTGAACTCATAATTACTATGCCAGCAAAATCATGACTCAATAAATTAATCCATTAGACTATTGTCCCATGAGACAATAGGCTAATGGATTAATGACCTAGAGATAACAACAACAAAGATAAGGCCATTAGTCTGAATGTAAATGATGTAATAATGGTAAGTCCTTATCCCATGTTTTGGTATGTGTGTACTCATATATATCTGTATATGAGTATATATGTATGTATATATGTATGTATGTATGTATGTATGTATGTATAGTTAGATGGATAGATATAGGGATACAGTGTTTATTTGTTTAGATGGGTGTATGTAATTGTATGGAGATGTAAGTTTTTATGTATATATGTTTATGTGCACGTATGTGTATGTCCGTATGTAGATGTGTGTGTAAATGTGGTGTATATATATGTAGGAGTGGATGTGTATGGATGTATGTGTATATGTATGTATTTGTGTGTATATTTATGTATTATATGTATACATGTATGTGTATGTGTGTATTTGTATGTATGTATATATATATATATGTATGTATGTATGTGAGAATATGTATGTGTGTGTGTGTGTATATATATATATATATATATAAATAAATATATATATGTATATGTATATATGTGGATATATGTGTATGTGTGTACACGGATATATATGTGTGTATGTGGGTACATGCCTATATGTATGTGTGTACGTGTACATGTTATTGTGTGTGTGTGTATACGCATGTGTTTTTGAACATAAAATTATAGGTCCTTGCTAGATTAGATAATCGTTATATTTATTTTTATATATTTATATTTGATTTGTAACCTGTAGTCGATATTAATTTTGTCAAATTTTCTTAATTACACAGCGGCCCTTTCAGTAAATGCCTTCAGTTTTAGTTTCCCCCTGTCTCTCTCCCCACCCTTTTTCATTTCTTTTCCTCCTCCCTCTTCTTCTGATCTTTAAGATTAGATCGTCTATGGTGTGTATGTCACCACGAAATGTATCCTTTATGGTTACAACTTTTAATGTATTAGACATCCGTCAACATTCATATTTCTCTCCTTAAACCTCTTCAACTCACCTCTCTAAAACTTCTCTCTGTTAAGGTTTAATCTCCCACCTTCTCTCCTCTGTTACCCCTCTCTTTAGCTCTAACATTCATCCCACACTCTCATACTTACACTCTCTCTAAATTCTATTTTTATTTCCGGAGTTGTTTTTTCTGTTTTCTTTATGAATTTGTAGGTCTGATGAATTGGATCATATTTCTGATTCCAATGGAATAAATTATGACCATGGAATATTAGTGTTTAAGCCTTTTTATCATATCCTTACCCTGTCCTGAACATTGAGTTCTACCTGGATTCTATCCTCTTGGAATTTTTTATTCAAAAAATATACATGTATGTGTATGCACCTCTGTATATATATTTATATATTTTGCATATGTATGTGTATATTTACCACTAATATTAGCTATATATATATATATATATATTTTAAGACATTTTATGTTTATACATTCTTTTTATATATACAAATATTTAAGTAAATGCTCTGTTTATAATAAACAGTATTAAACATTTACCGACCAGAATGTCCGAGAAATTTTCATACAAAAGCATTCGTCCTCCGACATATATATGAAGAAATATAGTTTTAAGGTTGACTATATTTATGGGATAAAGTGCTCAATATCAGAGATAGACCATATGTAAATATAAATATAAAAGTGAACATTGAAGTCAACACTCAGAGGCGACAGGCTGTTTTATGTTGGACACAATCATCAGGCCACCTGATGATTGCATCCAGCATGAAACAGCCTGTCGCCTCTGAGTATTGACTTCAATGTTCACTTTATATATATATATATATATATTGTTTACTTAGTATTATTTTACACTCTTCTTCTTCTTTTGTTATTGTTTATTGGAAACTTTATCAATTCCATTTGTTGGGCATTTCTACCAATTACACTTAAACACATTCAATTACTCTACATATGATATATTTCCAACAATGTATAATGGTCATTGTAATATAGCAATAACTCTTAGTTGAAGCTTATGAACCTTTATTTGACTAATTTAGCTTTAGCACTGAAAATGTTTATTTTATTGTGATGGATGGTTACAAGCAAGAGGGGAGATAGGACATGCTTATTTTATTATCATAGTCATTTTTTCTTCTTTCTAACAAGTCACAAAATAATTATATAATTTCTTTTAATTTTAACTATAATCATTAAACTTTAACTTACCAAATATACTTGTGTATAAGACAACTTTATATATAGCATAACCATTAAATTTTAAGGCCTCCAAAAGAAATTTGCCTGTGTATAGTGCAACCAGTCACCAAAATTGCATGATTTTTAATCTCTTCAAAAGAATTACCTATGTATAGTGTGACCTCCTATTTTTTGCGTAAAAACTGATCAGAAACATGGCACTATACTTGAGTATAGTGATTTTCCAAGCATAGCTTAGATGTGGCACAAGGCTGAAAGTATGGAGCACCTAGTGAGGATAGAACTCACTACTCAGTTGAAATTGTTTTAGCAAGACAAGCTTGCTAACCATTACACTGCTTCAAGGTGCCCCACTATACTTGAGCATATATTGTATACACATATACATATTAATGTTACGCTATGACAGTTCTTTGATGAAAAAATTTTTGGAAAAATGGAATTATGAACTCACTGGAAAGATGGCAGAAAGTAATAAATTATTCATTAATGTTAATGTCAAAATTTGTTTTAAATTTGTATTTTATCTTTATCTAATAAAGTGAACAAACTTTTTGACCAGACCAAGCCAATAAAAATTAAATCATTACCTAAAAAGCCTAAACACTGTCCAAGACACATTTATTCAAAATTAAAGTACCAACCTTTAACATTTTCAAACAATTCGTGAAGTACAGTAAAGAAGCCAGAAAACTTAGCAGAACTGAATTCTTGTTCTTTAGCCCAGATGACACCTTCCACATAATAGTCAAGTGTGATTCCATCTTTTAAGTTGAGTGTTGGGTCGTCAAGGTGGAAAAAAGAAATTAACTTCCTGAAATAAAATTGAGAAAAAATTTGTACTTAAATATCTGCTGTTTGTTATTCAAGATCTTTATAAAAAAGTTGATTCTGCCTTTTCTGTGAAGGTCTTTAGTTTGGTTGTTTAGTGGCATATCACCCTCTATGGGTTATTTAATGCTGAAATCTAAATAATGTTGTACACAATTTTATTTTATTTCTGGAGATAATAATGGTTTAATGATGCAAGTCTTACTAATTAACCCATAGCTGGGGGGAGAAGAGGTAGGTTCCAAGTTATCATCCATTACACCAACCACACATCCAAGCTTACAGCATCTAGTATTCCCAGGTGGTCACCCATCTAGGTACTGACCAGGCTCGACATTGCTTAACTCTGGTGATCATATGAAGGTTTTAATCAGAGGACACAAGATTTAGAATTACTGATACATATAAAAGTCATCAGGTTATAAAATAAATTAGAAAACCGTTTGGTCACATTAGGAGAGAAAATTATGTTAGAAGAAAGAGTGTCATTGAATTTGGCCCCTTGTACATTGCTTCCTATACACCATGTGTAAAAGAGGAGCTATTATTTGCACTATTTTGTCTAGCAGCATATCAACCTCTACAGGTTATTTAATGCTGAAATTTAGACATTTTGAGCATAATTTCATGAATCCAATTAAATATATTTTGAACACAGTTGTATATCTTCAACTACAGATAAAATGTATTTTTGGTCATTGTACTATAAATATATTTTGTTGGTAATTTTACTATAAATATGTACTGTTGGTAATTTTTTATATAAAAATGTATTGCTAGTATTTTTACTATAAAAATGTATTTTTATACTTTCATAATTTTGTTTTTGTTTGGAGATTCCCCATTTTCCCATAGCTGGAAGCCTAACAGGAGCAACCATCCCAGGTTAAGGTGGACATGAGGACAACAGCAATTCAGATGTGGTTCCATGCTCCTCAAAACCTCCTATCTCCTAATTGCTGCCATATGTAGTTTATCATCATACCCAGGACTACCATATACATAACAGTTCAGTAGTCTTTTCTTTGTTACTAAGATAATTTCCTGTTTTTTAATATTTTGTTTAACTTTTGGAAGAGACTTTTCACTATTCCAATACATCTTCAGATTTTTGTGTCATATATTTTGTTCTTTGTTAAAACAATTTGTATTTTAATACTGGTAAAAATCAACATATGGCTATTTACAGAAGAACGAAAACTGTCAGGTTTTTATTAAATATACATATTGCAGTATAAAATATAATTTTTGTAGTGCTTTCATCTCTCTTGTTGAGGATATATTTATAATTTCAATAAGATAGTTATTTATTTCAAATATCTGGGAATATCACAGAAGCTTCAGAAACATGATTCTAACTTTGAACAAAAATCCTTCAATTTTAGCATTTTGAATTGGCAATAAAAATGGGGAGTCATTACTTGTTATTTAGAAAGAATAATATCTTTAACAAGCTTTGAAAAATCTTTTTTAAAGAAATGGTAATGCCTACAAATTATATTTGTGTTCATATCTGCCATTGATTCATATTTTCACCATGTTTCAGTATCAGTTGCCAAAATTAATACCACACTTAATAATGGATAACCCTAAAAGTTTTTTCAATATTTTTCATTAGATAGCATTGGGGTGAGGGTAGTTAATTTCATTAAAAAAAGATTGCATTTCATGTTAGCTGTCATTGGTTTGCTTTGATTTAACATTTTTTATTATGATGGTCACTCTGTACAAGGCCCAAGATCCACTCTAGGTAGAGGTTTAAGAATAAGAGGCACAGTTTATGGAGATATGTAAGGAAGATAACGTTTGACCTTAAACTTGAACAGGTTAAGATTGTATTGATCAGAGAAGTATCCTCTTAGGAGTTGCTTCCAAATAAAGCTTCAGTTCATTAGAAGAAGCTGCTCAAGTGAAACTTAATCTCACCAATGGAATATGAAGGGAATGAGTGTGGTTTGATACAATGTGTGTGGCATGGCAGGTCTTAGCTATGAAGGTCAGGATGGTGGAATTAAGGAATGTAGCTCTTTTGAACACCTTTCATGGAAATAATGATTGAGCAGTGAGAGGTTTGCAACATTTCATCTGGGGGGGGGAGGGATAGTAGGGGGAAAAATAATTCATCCCCCCACAAGGACACAGAAATGGTTTTGGACACTATCAAGACTGAAGAGTGAAGACAGAGTATCTCCTACCCATATATTGCAGCAGTAATCCATTTTCAGCCATGACCTTACTGTTGGAAAGGTAGACGATATCAGGGGGAGTCAGGTATTTACTGATGCAATTACGGAGAACCAATCATTTTTCCGGCATCATTAGCAATAAATCACACGTAACAGTTCCACTTGAGGTTTGGGTTGAGTTTAGATCTCAATAGGCAATCAAGGCATAGGGTCTTCATGAAGGAACACTCATTCATTGCAATCAGTGAAAATTCTGGGTCTGCTCAGTGATGATGGAACATCACTAGTTTGATTTTCATGGCATTGAATGTGACCAGCCAGTTCTTCCCCTACTAAGCTAGATCAGAGGAATCAGCTGCCAAGTTCTGGTCATATAGAGTTTTGGAGGTGCCCCCATATATCATTGTATCATCAACATAGATATTCACAAATGATCAGAGTATACTCTTAGACAGATCATTTTGAGAAGTGAACCTTGGATGATGCCTGCATTGGCTGCTTGGGTCTCAAAAGACTGGCTATTAACAACTACCTTCAGGGACCTACCTGCTAGAAAGGACTTTTTAAATGGAAAACCTCTTCCAGTGATTATATAGTGAGCTTGGGCAGTAACCCTTTATACCACAATGTGTCAAAGGTCTTTGAAATATCTAATGTGAACATCCTTGAGAAGTATTTGTTGTCTAGTGCCTAACTCATTCTGTGACTAATGACAGCTAGGACATCAGCAGTGGACCAAGCCAATTGAAACATGTACAGTTTGTGGCTCAAGATGTTATCCCTGTTGAGGTGATCAACAACCTTCTTGTTGATTATAACTCAAAAAATATTGCTAATGACATGGAGGCTATACTGAGATGGGGGATGAACGTTTAACTGCATTCTTGAATTTAATGAATTTAAAGAATCATTCATGGATTCCATGAGCCATAACTAACTGGCTTTATTTTTATTTTTACTGGAACAAGTTATTAAAAGCTGGAACAAATCATTCAAATCAAGCATATGTTAAGATTCTCAGAAAACAGTATCTAATAGGGCTATTTATGAATGAAGCCTTGGTTATGAATACAAAGTAAATTACATTGCAGATTGTATCTATGTCACTCAAAATCCTCTGAATATGAACAAGGAAAGGTATGTATGATTATTTTATTTGATATTTTATACAATTTTACATAACATTGATCATCTGCATGCTGACTGCCTTGGACTTAACAAAATGTTCATTAAATGCAGTGGTCTAAAGAACTTGCTTCTTCTTTACAAAATGAAGAATTCATCAGATTTAAGGAATTATCAGAGTTAAGGAATCCCAATTAGTTTTTTTTTAAGTCAAGGTTTTGCTGTATGTTAAAAACTTTATTGAAACTGGCATATTTTTGTTTATTTATTCCAACATTGAAAAGAGAAGAAAATAAGAGACATTTTCAACAAATACGTATTTTTATTCAAAAAAGGCAAAAATATGACTTTCTCCAAAAAAGCAAGAATGTTTTTCATGGCTTATAAAGAATATACTTGAATGATTGAACATGTCAAAAATAAGTTGCAAAGCTTTGTGCTGGAAATTTCTAGCACAAAACTTTGCAACTTATTTTTGACATGTTCAATCATTCAAGTATATTCTTTATAAGCCATGAAAAACATTCTTGCTTTTTTGGAGTAAGTCATATTTTTGCCTTTTGCACAGAATCAAGTAGACCAGTTGACATTAATAACTAACAAATCACAACATTACTTGAAAATAATGTTATATGATGTGGGAAGAGATTGTCAGTATCCTCAAAATACCCAATTCAATCATCGAAAAACATTTGCCTCAGCTTAGTTATGTTATTCACTTTAATGTGTGGCTTCCATATATGTAAAATAATCTATTGGACTATTTTTGTAACAGATTTTGATAGGTGACCAAAAGTAGATAGTCTATGACATGGAAGCAAGAACTTATTAGGCATGTAAAATGAACTGCCATTAATTATACTAAATGTTGGTCTTCATCCAAAGAAATTAATATTGTATATGTTTGTGAAATTAGAAGAAAATCTGCTACTATAAGTTCTTTCCGGGGAAACAAATGATTTATTCAAACAAGTAATACTTCCACTTGAAGGTAATAAAACAAAACCATTCAGAATTTATTAACAGCAATATTCAATCAAGAATATTCCATTAGTAACTCACTAGACTTCATGTTTCTTTGGTGAGCACACAAAACTTGTAACCTTTGTTATATTCACAAGACATTGTATCTTCAGATTAATATTTGTTTTGGTCTTTACAGAATTCTTCTTATTTTTTAATCATCTTACTCAACAAGGCAATAAAACCAAGGATGCATGAAGTGTGAAGATATGAGAAAAAGAAAAACGCTGCTAAAGAGAGATAACAATAAAAAAACAGTCCTTTCTTCTTGCTTTCCTTTAGAATTTCTTAATAAAAAATCTTAAATTAAGAATCACAGTTTATAAGGATACTGAGAAAGATAGAATGTTGTAGGAGGATGGAATTATCAAATTGTCTGGAAGATAATGGAAGAAAACAGAAAATAAAGTTAATGTCAATTTTTTTAAAATTATCTTTTACTTAATTAACTGAATTAACTTTTTGGCCAACCTCATATGAGCAATGATGAAGTTTTAGAGAAAATGGAAACAAAAAAGACATTTATACTTAACATCAGAAAGAGACAGTCGAAATTTCTAAAGCACATTATGAGGAAAGAGGGCTTGGAAAATTTGATACTCATGGGACAGATTAAAGGCAAGAAGGATTGGGGAAAACAATGCACAATCTATCTAGCAAGCGTAAGTAAATGAATGGTGGAACAAACTTTAGGAGCGATAACAAAAAGATAAAATTAATTAAGAGCTACAAAAGACAGGAAATTGTAGAGAGACATGATCACCAACCTCATCAAGAGACATGGCATATAAAAGAATACTTTATGTAAAAATTATTAATGTTAAAAAAATTATAGTCTTTTATTTTTATTTAATAAATAAAGTGAATTTTGGGGCAAACCAATGTCATTCAATAAAGAAAATGTCAAAAAGAAAAAAAATTGTCTATTTTATGCTGTCATTGACCTAATACAAGGCCTAAGAGCCACTCAAAGTATAGAGTTACTGAATGAGGTTGTTTTATGGATGTAAGGAGCAGAACCTACAA